AGATCTTGGGGGCACAGGCACCCCCGAGGCTTGGCTGGGAGTGCACACTGTGGCGGGAGCTGCCTTCCTTCCATGCCCATACCCCACCCCACAAACTATCCGCTTGTGGCTCCATCCCACAGCCCACCCCAGCTGGCTGGGCAGTGCCTATTGGTGCCCCTTCACTTTTGCAGGGGGGAAGTCAACCCGCTCACCCCCCCACCCCCTTGCTATGGCACTGGCACTCAAGAATGGTGCAGCAGTCAGCACATTAAAAAAAAAGGGGTCAGCTATGGGCTGTATGCGCTGACAAAGTGTGCACCATTTAGCTGTGTCTGAGTGAAAAGGAAATTAAAGCAATCCATGCCCCCTGCCCCAGAGGCACGCAAGTGGTTCATTTCTGGACTGAACTGTGCTGTTCTCAATTAAAGGCTGCCAGATGCCATGGGTCTCTCTGACTGTGCGGTTATCTCTTGTGCAGTCGCAAATGGTGTGGCAGGAAGCTGGCACATGGCACAAGAAAAAAAAAAGCAGCAGTTATGGTCTATGTTCAGTCAGGGGCAGGGGCAGGGAATGGGGTGATGGCACTATTGTCACGCTGGCCAGGGAACCACATTACACCCATTTATCGAAATGGGGCTGCTGAAATCAACATCTGGTGTACAAAAGGGTGAACTAGAAAAAAGTAGCTCATTACATGTCTTTGAGTGCCTTTGTGTTTGCATGTAATCAATCCATGGATGTGGAGCTTGAATTCAAGGTGAGCCAAACTAAACTACCTCTGAGGAATTTTACTTTAATGCACCAGAAAGACTTTTAAAGCATCTGGAAAATCCAGTCATGCAAAAAGCCACACTGTTGCAGTGCAAGAAAGGGCAAAAAATGTGATGTGATGTCCCTAGGTTCTTTCTAGGACATAACACCTGCTTGCAGACATTAACAAAACAAAACAAAACAAAACAAAAGTGCTTTACTTTAAACTCGGCATGCTCCAATGCCAAACCCAGCTTATGCGCAGAAGACGCAGTGTGTTAACTGGACCCAGCTCACCTGACGTCTGTATAGATCAGGAGTTTTAGTGGGGCTTTTTTGGTGCTTTTATCTAATGGCTGATTGACTTACCTTTAAAGTGCCAAAAAGCACCGCTGAAGCATCTGATCTATACAGATGCTGTGGAGCTAGATCTGCTGCCCTGCTGCTTCCAGTAAAGCGTTTTTTGGGTTTTTTTTAACAACATCTGTAAACAGCCAACATGCTTCATATTAAACACTAAATAGCTAAATTGAAGAGAAGGATCCAGAACCCAGGTGTCTCACTCTTAAATGAGTGCCCTGGGTTGCCCCTCTGCAAGCTTGTACCTCCATGCAGGAGGTGAGGCTCTGGTTGATAAGCAACGCCCCCAACCCAGCCTGGCCTGGCCTGTCCCAGCCAGGGACTCCTGGCTCTGCACACTGCCACCATGTGTGGCTGGGGACTCTGGTGGGAGCACTGTTGGGATGGGGGGGGCTGGCCCCGCCTGCTGCCACCATGTGCAGCCAGGGACTTGGGCAGGAGCTGCCTGTTATGGGGGTGGGTGGGGCTGGCCCAGCATGCTATTGCCACCTGTGGCCAGGGACTGGGGTAGGAGCGTGGGGAGCTGCGTTCTATGGGGTCAGGTGGAGCTGGTCTGGCTTGCTGCCACCACATGCAGATCCAGAGACTGGCATGCTCTGGGGACTCCAAGGACACCTCCCTCCACACATACACACACCCACATACACACACCCACACCCCACATCCCAGCATATCCCCAAACACATCCACATCCTCCCATGCACACCCCCACCCTCCCACCATAACGCCAACCTTCCCACAGCCCCACCACACATTCCCACACCCTTCCACCCCCACCATGCCTCTCCATACACTTACACCCTTCCCTTACACCTACACACACTCCCATTCCCCACCTTCCCAGGGGCACAGGACCAGGAGAGGGAGAAGCCACGTTCACAGGCAAACCCCAGTTTAAAGTAAAAAGAAAAGAAAACCCCAACGTACCTCTTGTAGGGGCCAGGAGGAATGAGGAGACGTGCAGTGGGAAACTGCCTGCGCGGTTCATTAGTCACGCTTATATCCAGCTGGGACCAGGTGACGTCAGGAGGAGACGCCACCTGGCAGAGATAAAGAGCGGCCCCGAAGGCACTGGAGGCCTGCCGAGGGCCGGAGGACCGTCGGGGAACCACCAGGCAGGAGGTGTCCAGCCCTGCCAGCTGGCAGATTGGCAGCTGGCAGATGGCAGTGGCGGCAGCGGTGGTGGCGACGGCGGCAATGTAGCGGCGGCAGCAGCGGTGATGGTAGTGGCGGGAGCAGCGGAAGCAGCAGAGGATCGCTGAGCCAGGGAAGACTGGCGGGGATCGAAGACACCGGCGGAGAGGCCGGCAAAGGCAGCAGCAGTGGCTGCTGCAGTGGTGGGAGCAGCGGGAGCTGGAGAAGATCCTTGAGCCGAGGACCAGCGGGGATTGAAGACGCCAGCAGGGAAGCCGGTGGGAAGGCCGGCTGTGGTAGCCGCAGCGACAGCAGCAGGAGCGGCGGGGAACCCCAAGCTGGAGAAGCCCGGTGGGAGTTGAGGGAGCCAGCAGAGGGACCCGCAGCGGCCCCTGGAAGAGCCAACAGGACAGCCCTAATCACAGGCAACGGGGCCGCAGCCCCGAGTAGAGGCAGAGCCCAGAGGGAGAGAGGGAGAGAGAGGGACCCTGGCTCGGGCCGAAGCACGGACCCCGACCCAGAGGGTGCCTAAGGCTAAGGACGTTGGGGGCTAAGGTTGTACGGAGCTCTCACGGTGGGTGCTCTGTTTCCTTCAGGGTCCTCCCTCCCTTCTTTCTTTTTGGTCGCACCTCACCAGTAGTCACGGTGGTGGTTTTGTTCATTTTGCATCACATTGTGTGTTTCAAGGAAGAAGGGTTTAGGATCAAGGCATTGGCCATGATCCCCTTTAGGGCTCGTCTATCTTGATCCTCTTTGTGAAGGTAAATTAGCGGAGTCCTTAGTACCAGGTGAGGGTGGCTAGGACCCTGAGAAAGGGGAGAGAGATGCAGTGCAAGAACGTACTGGGAGCCACCACCAGTAGGTACTGAGGGCTAAGGGCACCGGAGAAGACAAGTCCAAAAGCCGAGGGTCCCCAGGCCCTCCCACCAGAGTTTGGCCAGGGCCCAGGGTGGTCACCATCGAGAGGCAACATGGAGACCAGGGAAGACACCAGTGGGGGCTAGCCGCAAAATAGACTTGAAGGCCCATCTCAAAGGGTGGTGCTTGGCTGGGGTGTAGGGGAGGCTGGAGCCCCATGAGTGCCTGCTGAGACACGTGATGGCCCTGGAGGCTCCCTCAAAGGGGATCCCCTCCACTGAAGAACCATTCAAAGTTGTGGCAGGTGAGTTAGGGGGTCTCCCTGAAGACAGCCGAGGTACCCTCTGGGGTCCGCACATGGGTCCCTGGCAAGCAAGATCAATTGCTCAGGCAAAGGTGGCACAGGAGCATATAATAGAGTGGAGGCGGGCACACCCACCATAACCCCCCCACACGCACACCTTCCTGCAGTCCCCACCCTAACCACATACCTCACACCACACTTCTCCACACACACTGCACTGCACTGCCCCATGCCCCCACTCACCATACCCACACCCCCCCCCTAGATACACTACACAAATACACATAAATCAGGACAAAATATTTTTTTAAATAAGATTAAAATAAGTTATAGTAGAGGTTTGATTTTTTTTTAGTGTACAATTTGGATTTTTTTTTCAGTTTCAAGATGGCAGCACCCTCCCTCCAAAAAGAAGTACTTCTGGGGCAAGGGGAGGGACTTCTTCTAGCAAAGGTCAGGGGTTGGGGTGGGATGTCCGGTCCCAAGATGGTGACTGGGGGGGGTGAGGGGCGCCTGTTACCTTGCAGACCTTGACAGTTCACCAAAACAGGTTAAGCAGACCTCCAGCTGAAATAATTGTCCACCCCTGTTCTTAGGTGTCCCTCTTTCCAGGTGAGTTTCCTGCTTTTACTAGCAGGCATTATATAAAAGGTTGGCACTACCATTTCTCTTTCCTTGTCTGCCATCAGCAATTACGTTTTAAAAAGGAAACAGCTAGGAATACATTTTGTTAGGAGACCAATCCTGTTGACCTGTGTTATCCCTGCTTCAAACATACCTACCATATTGGACTCCTCAGGAGTTTAGGTGCTGCTTGGCCTAGATTTTGGATCCAAATGTCACTTAGGTGGGATCTAGGCACCTAACTTCTTAGACCTGGTCAATTCTGGGCATGTGAAGAAGCATAACTACAAGTCCAGGGAAACCTTCAGGTCTAAAGAAGAAGTGCCTAGTGAGTTCAGTCAGCTCCATGGTTAGGTAGCCACTCAGCAGGATTGTTTTTTTTTAATAAGTTTTGAATACAGACACCTAAAGTTAGCCTAAGTCCTGTTTTGGGTGCTTATATATTTTTATGAGCCTGGCTTTATGTAATTAAATTTATGTATCTGGGCCATAGTGATTTCAACAATAATAGCTGTATAAGCACCCAGAGCTAGACACCATTGATCACTTCCAAAGGCAAAAATTCTTGTGGGTGATATCTTTTATTGAACCAAACTTTACAGTTGGTATACACAGCAAAGGGTACTCTGATACCTAAAAGTTTGCCTATGTCTATCCCAACCATACAGTTAGTTCAATAACAGATATCACCCACAAGAATTCTTGCTTCTCACATATCTCCTGTACTATCACAGCAAGAACATCACCACATCACTTTCAAAGAAATATTTATCTTATGCAATCCCAACAATTTTCCCTAAATATTTATAGTCAAAGCAACAAAATAAAAGATAAGCAAAATAAATAAATAAATAAATAACAATGAACCAAGAATAAGAAAAATGAAAATGGTCAGACAACAAATATATGAATTAATGAAGTTAATTCTACTGTCCCTCACCTACATTAATTAGTTTATTTCAGAAGAAATTTTTGCATTTTGGCTCACCTTGAGAGAACCTTCTCTGATAAAATAATTTTTTTCTTTCTCAGGTTGAAGTTCTGGAGCGGTCTCTCCTTTACTTTCAGGTCTTAAAGCATTGCCTTTGAGAAATGAGAAAGAAATAAGCAAAATTATCAATATGTTGGTAATATTAAAAAAAAGCAAAACAGAATTCCTGGATCAGTGGGAGGGCCAGGTTGGATTCCATGTTTCAACTCCTTTGTCCCTCTGTTTAGAAGAGGGACAGGGCAGAGACACTTGTTTCTCACAACCATCATTATTTAATATTTATATTAGTGTAATGCCCTGAAATCCCATCATTATCAAGGTTCTGGTATGCTAGTCACTACACATAGGGCACGTCTACATGAGATGCTATGACAATGTAGCATTGGCAGGCACCAACCATGACACTGCCACTACTGCTCATTGCTACTGTGCAGTAGGGTCAAAAATGACCCATGCGCTGCTGGACTGCACAGTACTGGCAGGTACTGCAGAGTCATTTAGTACTTGCAAGAGTAGATGCGCCTGTGGCGGGCCAGTAGGGGGTGCTCCTGCACTGAGCCACCCACCTCACTGTGCCTGACCACCTTCCAGGCTCCAAGTGCCTCCCTGGAGGGGGGCTGGGCCTCACGTCTGGCTGACCTGCTTCCTGGAGCACACCCGCTAGTCCAGGGGTGTCCAACCTTTTTGAATGTGGGGCCGGATCATGAACTTTTTATCACCCAGTGGGCCAGCAAGCCATATTCAAAGACCTCACAGGAAGCGGTATCACATCAGGAAGTGATATCATGTGACCTTTGACACCAGTGAAGTTGCAGGAAGTGACAATGAAATAAGTATAACCAGTTCAAAACTCTCCCTCTATAGTAGCATCCACCTCTGCCACTGTTTGGGACAGGATACTGAGCTAGATGGACCATTGGGCTGACCAAGCATGGCATTTTTTATGCTTTTATGTTCTTTGGCTGAGATTCCAAACTATGGCTGAGATTTGCAAAAAGGGGTAGATAGGCATGTTACAAAGCTGTCATAAAAGATTTGGAGCCCTCTAAATCCCATTCATTTTAATGGAAGTTGGCCTTTTGATTCAGCTTTGAAAATCTCAGCCCAAGGTGCCAACCAAATAAGTCAAAATATATTTTGCATTTCTATGCAGTGCATCTATGTGGGGCTCTCCAAGCATTTTACAAATATTAAACGAACCTCAGGATATCCCTGCTTTTCAGAAGAAATGTGGTGGTGAGGACATTCTGGGAACATCTCTCACTCTCTGTGTGTGATATTCTTCTACTGTCCTTGGACCACCCTAGAAGGGCCCTCACTGCCTCATTTCCAGTTCAGAGCAGGTAAAAGTGTAAGTGGGTAGGAAGGGTTTATTTTTTGGCAGCAGATTTGAGTTGCTTGAAGCTAGTGAAGATGTACCCACAATTAGTCACTGACCAGAGTGGGAACACAGTTGTCCTCACTTACTAACATGGCTCCAAGGCCCTGCACTGTCTCTGCCTACATGTTGCTCTCATGTCCTCTTGCTTTCCTAAATCTCATGAGAGTAGAGGATTCTCATCATGCCTACTGGACTGCCGTCACTGGATAGCTGTCCTGGTTCTAAGGTTATGCTTCTGACTCTTTTGTGGCCTCTTTTAGGGTGCACACTTAGAACACCGGCTTTTCCTTCCTTCCCATTTTGCTGAATTGTGATTATTCCCACGGGGCATGAATTTAGTTCAGTGGCTATGATTCTGCTTTCTCATACAAGAGGCAATGACTCTCACAAAGTATGGCATATTTTAGTA